AGGCATCACAATAGACAGTGTAAGACCCCGAACCTACAGGCAATATCAAAACTGGAGCTATAGTCAATGCTGTCTTAAGCTTTTAAAAGCTCGCCTCATACTCTCCCGTCCACTAGAATGGAGCACCCTTCTGGGTCAGCCTGGTCATAGGGGTTGCAACGATGAAAACCCCTCCACAAAATGATGGTAGTAACCTGCCAAGCTAAAAAAACTGTGGATCTCTGTAGCTGAGGATGGTCTGGGCCAACTCTGCATTGCCTCTACTTTCTTCAGATCCACCTGAATACCCTCACTCGATACCACGTGGCCTAATAATGCCACGAAATCCAACCAAAACTCACATTTCGAGAACTTAGCATATAACTTCTTTTCCCTTAGAGTCTGGAGCACTGTCCTTAGGTGCTGCTCATGATCTTCCCGACTCCGGAAATACAACAAAATATCATCAATAAAGACAATGACGAACGAGTCAAGATATGGCCGGAACACACTGTGCATCAAATGCATAAAGGCTGCTGGGGCATTGGTCAGCCCAAATGACATAACAAGGAACTCGTAATGACCATACCGAGTCTTGAAAGCAGTCTTCGGGATATCTTGCTCCCGAATCTTCAACTGATGGTAACCTGAGCGCAAGTCAATCTTAGAAAACACCCGTGCTCCCTGAAACTGGTCAAACATATCATCAATATGAGGTAAAGGATAGCAGTTCTTCACCGTAACTTTGTTCAACTAGTGATAATCAATATACATACGCATAGAACCATCCTTTTTCTTCACAAACAAGACAGGAGCACCCCAAGGTGATACACTGGACCGAATAAAACCCTTATCAAGCAACTCCTGTAACTGATCCTTCAATTCCTTCAACTCTGGAGGAGCCATACAATACGTAAGAATAAAAATGGGCTGAGTGCCCGGCAACAGTCAATGCCAAAATCAATATCTCTATCGGGCGGCATGCCTGGAAGATCAGCTGGAAATACATCAGGAAAATACCGTACTACTGGGACTGAATCAACTAAAGGGGTGTCGATACTAACATCTCTCACATAATCTAGATACACGTCACACCTCTTCTCAACCATACATTGAGCCTTAAGGAAAGAAATAACTCTACTGGGAGTGTGATCTAAAGCACCCCTCCACTCAACACATGGTACACCTGACATAACCAACATTACGATTTTGGCGTGACAATCAAGAATAGCAATAAGGGGCGACAACCAGTCCATGCCTAAGATAATATCAAAATCTACCATGTTGAGCAACAATAAATCGGCTATGGTCTTAAAACCACTAAGAGAAACCAAACATGACTGATAAACGTAGTCTATAACAAGAGAATCTCCCACAGGAGTAGAAATATAAACGGGAGAACTCAAAGAATCCTGAGGTATACCCAAATGTGGAGCAAAATAAGAAGACACATAAGAGTAAATGGAGCTTGGATCGAATAGAATCGATGCATCTCTGTGACAAACCAGTATAATGCCTGTGATGATAGAATCAAAGGCAACAGCCTTGGTACGGTCAGGAAGGGCATAGTATCTGGCCTGGCCTCCCCCTCTAGGGCGACCTCTACCTCCCCAACCTCCACCTCTAGCTGGCTGAGAAGGTGGGGTAACAAGTAGAGCTGTAACCATAGCTTGAGAACTCTGCGGGGCACGCTGTGGCTGAGAGGTCTGTGGAGGTGCACCCCTCCTAAGTCTGGGGAAATCCCTTACCATATGGCGTGTATCACCACACTCAAAACAAGCTCTGGGAGGACGTGGTGGTTGTGACTGGCTCAGGCCAAGTCTACTGGACTGACCACTGAAATCACCCCGCGCAGGAGGCACACTAGATACTGGAGGTATATAATAAGGCTCCTGAGGCCTAGGAGGAGCTGGAATACCACTGGCTGCTGGAAGAGCTAAATGAATGGGGCAACCCATATAACCCCTACCATGACGACCTGCTGCTGGGGCACGGGCACCAAAAGAATGGCCCGACTCTCGAGACCTCTTGGCCTCCTCTCCTCTCTCTATCTAGCATGCATACTCTCAATCCTCCTAGCAATGCTCACCACCTGCTGATAAGAAATATCCTTCTCCAATTCACAAGCCATGCTAGACCTGATGTTAGGAATAAGCCTCTCAATAAACTGGTGAACCCTCTCACGAACAGTAGAAACCAAGGTTGGGGCATGTCTAGCCAAGCTAGTGTAACAAACAACATACTCCGATACAATCATAGTACCCCAGCGCAAATGCTCAAACTCCGTGCGCCATGCATCCCTAAGGCTCTAAGGAACAAACTCTCTTAGGAACATATCTAAAAACTGAATCCAAGTCAGTAAAGTTGCCTCATCCAGACTGTCTAACTCATAGGTACGCCACCACTTATAGGCGGCTCCTTGAAGCTGGAAGGCACTGAAAGAAACCCCACTTGATCCTGATATACCCATAGTGCAGAGGATACGGTGACACTCCTCCAGAAATCCCAAGGCATCGTCTGATGCTAACCCACTGAATTCTGGAGGATAATACTTCTTGAAACTCTCAAGTCTCCACTGCTTATCCTTTGAAGCCATTGCCCTATCCTCGGGCTGACCTGGGACTACAGGCTGTGCAAGAATAATCTCTAGGACCTGATCAACATGCACTCGCTTCTCAGCAGTGCAGGCGACGAGAGTCTGTGCTCCTCCCCCGACCTGAGATGTGGCTGTAGCAAGGAGAAGCAACCATGCCTGAGCCAAAGTGGTGTACATGCTCATGAACTACGCAAGAGTCTTCTAAAGAGCTGGAGTAGTAGTAGCAGTAGGCGTATCAGGTGCCTGGACTCCGGCTGCAACTGGTGGAGGTACCTCGGTGGCAGCTCGCGCGGGTGCTCTGGCTGCACCACGTGCGTGTCCTCGGCCTCTACCCCTGCCCCAGCCTCTAACGACTGCAGGAGGGGGCGCGAGTGCCTGATCATCTCGGTTAGCACGTGTCCTCACCATCTGTGAGAGAATAGAATACATAAGTTTAGAATTGTGACATCAAAATCTAGCACGACAAGGAAATCCAATGAAGTGGAATTTTCCTAATAGTTACATAGCTTCTCGTAGATAAGTACAGATGTCTCCATACCGATCAGTGAGACTCTAATAAACCGGCTTGTGATTCATGACTCCTATGAACCTAGAGCTCTGATACCAACTTGTCACGACCCCTGTTCGCCCTCTGTGAACCATCATGACGACACCTAGTCTCTACTAACAATGCAAAAAAAAATAAACAAATTTGCGAAAGAAATAATTAAAAACCGAAATATTGAAATAAAACAGTATTTAAAAGTGCCGCTTGGCATACACAATATATACTCTTGAAACTACTAACATTTCCCAAAACCCAAAATCTCATGATCATAAGGCTTTGAATGTCTACAAGCATCTAACTCTAGAATATCTAACAAAGAAAGCGAAAGTACAGAAGGGCTAATACAAAAGGGAGAGTAGAAAGGGACTCTTCGGTCTACGGACGCGATAGATATACCTTGGAGTCTCTACAAGCGCCTCATCTCAAGCATGATAAGTCTGAGTGGAAGTACCTAGATCTGCACATGAAAAACATGCGCAGAAAGGGCATGAGTACACCACAACGGTACTTAGTAAGTGCCAAGCCTAAATTCGGCCAGGTAGTGACGAGGAAGGTCAGGGACCTACAAAGGTTAAATAAAATATAAGTTTCAACAGTGTAGAACAAAATAGTATAAGTACAACAGTAAAAGTAACACAAGATATAAAGGACAACAACAACAACTATAGAGGCAAAGTAAACACAGAAAGAAATACAACTCAGTACAAAGATAACAACCGGGGATCTCCCAGGATACAGTCCCGTAGTTAACCTCATAATGCGATGGGATCTCCCGGAATACCGATCTGTAGTACCAAATGTAAATACTCAGTACATGGGGAATCTACCAGGTGCAGTCCCGTAGTTCCAATGTAAATGTGTAGGGGGGATCTCCTGGAATACTGTTTTGTAGTACCAAAGTAAACATACAGGGGGATCTCTCGGGATACCGTCCTGTAGTCCCAAAGTAAACATACAACAACAACAAGAAGAGTACACAGTTCAATTCAAGTTCCATACCAAGGTAAAATAGGTACTTCTAACCTGGCATACTGCACGTAATCCAAATAAGGCAGTTTGAGCAAGTAAGACAATTAAGTCAATTAGACATGCTTTCCTAAGTTAACAACAGGCTGAAATTGCAACTAGTATAAATAGGAAGAGAAACATACTAGTAATTACTTAATGAAAACCGGATTTTCAACAATTAGCACAAGTACGCACTCGTCACCTCACGTACAAGGCATTTCAATTATCAATAATACCAAATTCTAAGGGGAAAGTCCCCCACACAAGGTTAGTCAAGCCACTTACCTCGAACCGGCTCAAAGTCAACCCGAAACCACGTCTTTGCCACGAGTACTCGACTCCAAATAGCCTAAATCTATTCAATTCAATTGCATAATATAAATAACACTTCAAATAACTGATTCTACAAATAAATTCTAAGCTAATACGTGAAATTAGGTAAAATAACCAAAACGCCCCTCGAGCCCACGTCTCGAAATCGGGCAACATTTACATTTTCAGAACCTTCACACTCTCACGAGTTCAGTCATACCAAAAGCACCAAAAGCAGACCTCAAATGGTCCCTTAAATCATCACTCAAATGTCTCTAATTAATCAAGCCCTAACCCTCAATTTACTACTGATTTTTCTTAAATTTTCATGCTTAGAATGATAAAATCAACATAATAACGAGTTTAGGTTCCAGGAATCTTACCTCCTCGAAGCTCCCTTGAATTCCTTCTCAAAAACCTGCCCAAAAGCTCAATTCCCGGATGAAAATGGTGAAAGAATAACTCAAATTCGTGAAGGCAACTATTTATATACTCTGCCCAGCGAATCCGCTTCTGCGGTTATGGGACCGCACCTGCGGTCCCGCTCCTGCAAAAAAAATGACCGCACTTGCAAAACTCATTAAAGTCCCAAAATCCGCACCTGCGACCTACTCACGCATTTGCGGTCATGCAGGTGCGTGACTCCTTCCAAACCTACGGCTCCTACCTTTTCCTCATCTAGTCGTTTCTGCGGTTAAATTCCGCATCTGCAGCCTCTCAACCACAGATGTGGTTTTGAAAGCAGCCCAAAGAACTTCAGCTGCAAACTCCAAGTTCCAATTTCCCGTTAACCATCCGAAATCATCCCGAGGCCCCTGAGACCTCAACCAAAAGCACAAACAAGTCATATACCACTATCCAAACTTATACAAATCTTCCAAACACATCAAAAAACATCGAATCAACCTGTTAGCATCGGATTCAAGCCTAAGAACTTCAAAAACTCTCAAAATACGCTTTTGATCAAAAAGTCTATCAAACCTCGTTCGAATGACCTGAAATTTTGGACATACGTCACATTCGACACTACAGGGCGACTTCAACTTCCGGAATTCCATTACGACCCTAGGATCAAAATCTCACTATCGAACCGAAAACTTCAAAAATTTAACTTTCGGCATTTCAAGCCTATATTAGCTACGGACCTCCAAAACACAATCCGAACACGCTCCTAAACCCAAAATCACCCAACGGAGCTAACGGAACCATCAAAGTTCCATTCCGAAGCCGTCTTCACACTGTTCCGACTACGGTCAAATTTTCAAAACTTAAGCTCTCATTTAGGGACTAAGTGTCCCAAAACTCTCGAAAACTCCAAATAAACCCTCCCGACATCTCACAATAGCAGAAACAAACACGGGGGAAACAGTTAATAGGGGATTAGGGCATAAATTCTTAAAACGACCAGCCGAGTCATTACAGTCCTATTTAAAATTATGGGGTTAATATCTTACATCACTCATAAAGTTTGCATGAATAGTTAAGTTTCCCTAACGAATCTAACTGTTCAATGAGCATGGTTATATGTGTAATGTGCTGTTTTGAATTTAATTATTCTAAATACATAACTAATGATCTATTTAATGTGAATATCTCTCAAATTAACCATGTCTTAATTCAACCCATACCTCAATTTTGAACCAAAACAAGTTAGAAGGACCGAATTATGTTGACTGGAAAAGGAACCTTGATATTGTCCTAACTGCTGAAGCTTACAAATTTGTAATCACTGAGGAGTGCCTAGAAAAACCTGAAAATGCTGTTGATGATCAGGTTAAGTCCTACGACAAATGGGTTAAGGCTGATGAGATGACGCGATGTTACATGCTTTCCTCTATGGCGAATATTTTGCAACATCAGCATCAGTCTATGGGGTCTGCTTATAATATGCTCGAAAGTCTCAAAGAGATGTTCGGTGAGCAAAATCATGCCGCTAAGCAGACATCCATGAAAGCCCTTTTGAACACCAAGATGGATGAAGGATCATCGATTAAGGACCATGTTCTGAAGATGATAAGTCTTCTAAATGAACTGGAGGTCCTTGGAGCTATGATTGATAAGGATTCTCAAGTTGAGATGGTCCTGCAGACTCTGCCTGACAGTTTTTAACAATTTTGCTTGAACTATAATATGAACAGAATGGATTTGTCACTAGCGAAATTATTGAATGAGCTGCATGTGGCAGAATCCATTATCAAACAACAAGATCCAGTTGTGGCACTCAATGTTGAGAAAACTTTAGTTTCTAAGTCGAAAGGCAGTAAGAAAATAAAAAGGCTCAAAAGGTTTTGCACCTGGAGGTGCGGCTGGTGTGAAAAATCCCAAAGGCAAGTGCTATCATTACAAGCAACCTGCACATCACAAGAAGCAAGCCTTGCCTATCTGGCAAAGTTGTATAAGCAATGTAATTCAAATTTAAATGTTATTGAAACTTGTTTAGTGGCTGTTTCTAGCATGTTTTGGTGTGTAGATTCGAGAGCCACTAATCATATCTGCACTACTTTGCAAGGGTTTCAGGAAACGCGGTGGCTAAGTGAGAATGAAGTTTGCATTTTTCAAGCCAATGGCGAGCCAGCACCAGCTTTAGCATTAGGAGATATTAGAGTTTCATTTAGTAGTGATAGAGTTTTAGTTTTAAAGGATGTTCTCTATGTACCTATTGGAAGGAATTTAATTTCGGTTTCGAAAATAATGGATGTTGGTTATAATGTTTATTTTGCAAATAACTCTACTGTTATTAAGTTTAATAAACGTTTTATCTACACTTTTTCTAGAGTACATGACCTTTTTATTTTTGATATATCTCCTCATGTGCTACAACAACCAAAATAATTAAATAACATTAATCTGCCACATAAAAGAAAACGTATTTCTGAATTGAGTCAAACTTATTTATGGCACTTACGTCTAGGTCACATAAATCTAAATAGAATTTCGAGATTGGTCTCCTCGTAGACCTTTGAATTCATTGAAAATGGAGTCACTATCAACATGCGAATCCTGAAGGTAAAATGACCAAGAGACATTTTCCCTCAAAAGGAAATAGAGTCAGCGATAAGCTATAATTAATTCACTCTGATTTGTGTGGCCCCATGAATATACAAGCAAGAGGTGGTTTTGAGTATTTTGTGACTTTCACAGATGATTACTCAAAATATGGATACATTTATCTGTTGCGATGTAAGTTTGAATGCTTTGAGAAATTCAAAGAATTTAAGACGGAAACGGAGAAACGACATGATAAATATATCAAAACATTGCAATCTGATCGTGGTGGTTGTGAGCACGTAATTTTTGCCTCACAGGAACTACTCCAAAAGAAATCAAAAAAAAAAATATAAACTAGTTTTTCTTTGTACGCAATTTGGAGAATTTTCGTGGCACTTTGTTAATTATTCATGTTGTCTGTGCATGTTCATCTTTGTTTTTAATTAAAGAAAAATACAAAAATAGGTTGCATTGACATTTAGGATTTAATTTTGTAATTAGGAGTAGTTAAGTGTGCTCTACAAAAATGAAAAATTCACAAAAAACAATGTACTTCGCGTTTTAATATTTAATGTCAAAATCGTGTGATTTTTTCTTTTATTCAATTTTGTGTGATATTTGTTTTTAAGAGTTAATTTTGGTTTTACAATTTAAATTAGGATTTTTAGGTTTTTAATTTTGAAGATTAGTTTAAAAAGAAAAGAAAACAAAAATGAAAAATAGAAGAGAAATCGGACTGGGCCATGTTAATTTTGACCAAATCCAGCTCAAATTTTGTGTCTAACCCGGTCCAACTGATCAGCCCACTAAGACGTCCCAAACGACGTCGTTTATGTCACTTTCAATCAGTGTCGTTGGATTGAATCAATCCAACGACCGAGATCATCTCTCCCTTACCCATTCCCCAACCCGACCCATTTACCGTAGATGGATCCGGTCTTAGGAGTGCCTAAACGGCGCCGTTCCACTTAAATGATCAATCCAGGCCGTTAATCTCATCAGATCAAACGGCCAGGATTTGTTTCCCCCCTCTGGTATATAAACCTAATCCCTTATCCGTTCCCCCCAAGCCAAACCCCTCCCCTTCGTCTCCAAGAACCAGAGACCAAACGACCCTCCACCAAACCCTATCCGCCCTCGTACCCCTTCGCCTGAAAGCCGGCGGCAACGATGCCGGTGACCACGAAACTCAGACCCCTGAACCTTCTAGCCACCCTCTCCACGAATCCATGTGCCGTTTACTTCGAATCTCAACAGAACTCTTCGAATCTTCAATCGAAGATCGTCCAAAAACCTCACCTTCTCCGATTAACCCCAAAATTACACCACAACTTCCCCTCGACCTCCACATTCCGAATCCCTAACCCTTATCCCTCGAATCATCCTATAACTTCTCGGATCTTCGATCGAAGATCCCCGTCCCAAACCCTAGCCTGTCCACTTAACCCCAAAATCACACCCAATAATCCCCTTGACCTCCTCGTCGCCAATCCCTAGCCAAATTGGCTCGAATCCGAGTAAAACTCGTCGAATGTCGGATCTAGGGTTCAACGATTCGAGAATGTTTCGAAGCTGTCAGGGTTAAACGGGTTCTAGTTAGTATTATAAGCCTATTTCTGACGAAATAGACATATAATACTAACTGGAACTCAAGTTCGAAAGGACATGCTGGTGAGATCCGAGAAAAGAACAGTAAGTTCTTATCAGCTCCTTCTTTGTTTTTTTATGTTTATTTGTCTGTGTTAAGCTGCAATTAGTCACTTCTTCAGGTTTTCATCATTTTGTCAAATAATTCGTCCGTGCTAAGTTGTAATTCATCACTTCTGTCAATTAATCCTCCTCCTCTTTCGGACCTTTTTCTGGTCCAGTTTTTCTCATCTTGGTCGATTGGCATATGTTGAATCAATTAAATGGTCTCGTCGATTGACCCGTTCATGTCTGTAGTTCAGTTGTTCTCCTCAAGTTACTGGGTTTGTTTTATCTTCTGACCTTTGTATTTTCAGCCTCAGGGCTCATAGCTAGTATACTTGTTGTTCCAGCATTTTGTTCGAGGTTAATTTAGAGTTATATTTGTTCCCAATATAGATAGCTTACTCTCATGCATCTGTGTGAATCAATTTCTTGACCTTAATAGTCCAGTCTGACTATTGTCCTAAATCATTTAATCCCCATCTTGGTTGTAATGCTGTTGGATTTGATTTGAGTTCAATTGATGATTAAGTTTAATGATTCGAATTTATTTGTTTGTTCTGTTAAGCTTGTTCTGATATAAATCTAACCTTGTTGAATTGTCCTAATGTTGTTGATTGGGAGTTAGTTTCATGTATCTAATTAGTCAATTGATAGGCTTAAATTGGCTATAGCTGAGGTTTCATACAGGTTTAAAGGATTGGGGTAGGATAGTAATCACAGGGGTTTCAGGGGATAGTTTGGGACTTAAAAGTTTAAAAATGGTTGGTTTAAGTGTTCTGTCCAGTAAGTGCTAATGTAACATTAAACTAATGCATTTTTTTAGTGTTAATGGGGAACAAAACATAATGGTATGGGTAATCTTAAAAGGGATTGATTAAAATATGTTTCCCATACCTGTTTGAACATTAAATAAGGAAAAGACAAGGGATAATGGGGAAAAACATACTCTA